CACAGCCAAGTTGATATGGTGATGGTAAAACGTTTCTGATAAGGTTGTTCAGTAAAACAGTGAAAGATAAACATACCAGCCTCGACTGTGGTCAACATGCAACTGAAGATGAGTTAACGCAAAACTATTTTATTGTTTGAGCACACAACGATCACAATCTGAATTCAAAACGATCTTACTGTTTGAGTACACAGCGATCCCACTTTCAGTTCAAAACTATTTTATTGTTTGAGTACACAACGATCCCACTTTCAGTTCAAAACTATTTTATTGTTTGAGTACACAACGATCCCACTTTCAGTTCAAAACGATCTTATTGTTTGAGTACACAACGATCACAATCTGAGTTCAAAACGATCTTATTGTTTGAGTACGCAACGATCACAATTTGAGTTCAAAACGATCTTATTGTTTGAGTACACAACGATCACAACTTCAGTTCAAAACGATCTTATTGTTTGAGCACACAACGATCACAATCTGAGTTCAAAACTAACTTATTGTTTGAGTACACAACGATCACAATCTGAGTTCAAAACGATCTTATTGTTTGAGTACACAACGATCACAACTTCAGTTCAAAACGATCTTATTGTTTGAGCACACAACGATCACAATCTGAGTTCAAAACGATCTTATTGTTTGAGTACACAACGATCACAATCTGAGTTCGAAACGATCTTATTGTTTGAGTACACAACGATCACAATCTGAGTTCAAAAACAAGATTTATTTTACATATCTGTCTTTGAATTCATTTGACAACCAACAACAATGACACCATAGGTATTCGTGTTAACATTACTAGCTAAGGGGGTTTGTATTTGACATAAAAAACAAATGCTTCACGTGCTTACGGCACAGTGTTCATAAGGTTGTAAAAAGAATATAAAACAACACTTTAAACAAACCCCCCTAAAGGCTGATTTCTCTAAACACACACGCCATTGCTTAGATTAGAAGCGAAAGGAAATCGTCCTTTCAAACTTCTTACTGACAGAGTAATTGCTACAATAAGCTGCTGCCCTCTAATCAGACAGTTATTGTAAAATAGGTAGAATAATACAATATTCGAAGATTATTGTACAGTCATAGCAATAACGCCTTTATAAACTTGTAGTAATGTATTTATATATATATATATATATATATATATGGCGTGGCCTGGTGGTTAGGGAGCTTGACTCGTAATCTACGGGTCGCGGGTTCGAATCTTCGTTACCGAACATGCTCGCCCTTCAGCTGTGAGAGCTTATAATGTGACAGTCAATCACACCATTCGTCGGTAAAAGAGTAGCCCAAGTGTTGGCGGTGGGTGTTGTTGACTAACTGCCTTCCCTCTAGTATATCACTGCTACATTATTAGTTTCGTGCGAAATTCACAACAAGCCAAATTTGTTTTTTAAAAACTTGCAGTACTGTATACTTTTCTAAATTTGTAAAGTTTGTTTTATAATCTTGTAGCAATATTTTGTTTCAACCGATTTTGGGTGGATTATTAATAACATTTTCATAACTGGTGACCTTCAATGAAATCCCAACAAACCAAGAAAGGAATGGTTAAATAAGAAATCCACTTTCTGACGTTCATGTAACGTAGAGAGGACGTACTGATTAAATAACGGGTACACCCGAGTTAACTCGAGCGACTTCGGGTTTTTAAAATTGTCAGCTACTGTTAATATGATTATTATTATTTTAGAATATTCTAAATGGCTGTATACATTTAGAATCAATGTGAGTAGCTCTAATACAGGTGTTCTCATCTCCTAGAGGGAAGAACTCCTTAAAAAGTACACCACTCAGACTTGGCAGTGATGGAAGACATCTCTATACGCCAATGCCGACGTTCAGAAAACAAACTGACACAGACGTAATGTTGTTGTAAGAAAACTACATACAAGTAGAAACTCACTAATTTATCTTTGAAGGACTGGAAATTAACAATCTTATGAACTGGTTCCAGTTCGGTCTCAAAACTGACAGTCACATAGATGGGATCATTAGAAACTGGTTCCGGCATGGCCAGGTGGTTAGGGGGCAATCCCCGTCCCACCAAACATGCTCGCCCTTTCAGCAGTGGGGGCGTTATAATGTGACGGTCATTTACACTATTCGTTGGTAAAAGAGTAGCCCAGGATTTGATGATTGGTGGTGATGACCTGCTGCCTTCCCTCTCGTCTTTCACTGCTAAATTAGGGACGGCTAGCGCATATAGCCCTCGTGTAGCTTTGCGCGAAATTCAGAACAAACAAATATTAGAAACTTTATTAAACATTAGGACTTGTTTGACCTCCCCAGTCAATATCAGCGACTTATGATAATTGCATGATTCACTCAAATGTTAACTACATTTAGTTAGAAAAATTGGCACACTTAATATGGGATTACTAGTGAAATATTCAACAAAATATCGCTTCATACAGCTTTTGCAGAATGCTATACCACACATGTGAATGCCTTACAAACCCATCGAGTTATACTACTTGACGCTTCAGCTTTTGTGTTGCCAGTAAGTCGTTTCTTCAGTAAGATACGTTACTCCATCGTTCTCTTCAATCCATTCATTTTATGGTTAATTCTTACCAGCAGTTTTTCTTTTACTGTCTTGCAAGTGAATGTATGGGTAAGTTGTCTTCACAAAGCTGGTTACTGATTACACGTGCAACAAGAAAGTGATTTGTGGTGTCTTCGAAGTGACGGGTGTTAGGAATCTGAAGAATTGCGTAAAGTTGAACTTCGAATCCATTTCTCCACTAATCTGAACCCCTCA